CTTGCCGGTCACTGGCCCGCCGCCAACTGCCAGCCAACCGCCAACCGCCGTCCACTAGCCACTGCCGCCTGCTACCACCTGCTGGTGCCTATTCAGCCGCCGCAGCTACAGCAGCTACTGCTGCTACCACCGCCATTGCTCCAACCGTCACCAATTCTCCTGCCGCCGCCGCCGCTTCAGAGCCGCCGCCGCTGCTTCACAGCCGATGCTGCCGCTTTAGAGCTGCCGCCGCCGCCACTTGAGACAGCCACTCCGGTCACAGCCGCCACTGCTGCTACCATCGGTCATGCCCCTGCACCCCCTAGCGCCTCCTACTGGTCTCCTCCTCGTTTTATGGAATTCCTTGCCGCCTTCACTCTCGGCATGACCACCTGGTCCGGGTCCGTCCCTCGGTTGGACTCCGAAGGTTGGGGGGTCGACTTCGCTCTCGGGCTTCTCACGCTCCGCCGCCAGCTCGTGAGCCAGCACGTGGACCGCGAGCTCCTGGAGGCCCACAAAACTGGTGAGCTTGTCGCACACCTCCACGCCGTAGAGGTACGCTATCTGGCTACCTACCCCGAGCCGCAGCACCAGCAGCCGCAGCAGCTTCAGCGGCAGCAACAGCAGCTGCCATGGTGGGGTCCTGAGTGTGTTGGGCACGGTGGAGGCTCTAGAGGTTGGGCCCCGGAGCAGTGGCTTCCCTGGGGCCCGCGTAGTTTCTCTGGAGCCCCGAGGGCCCGGGGGTCTAGGTCCCACTGTTGTGTGTAGTCTAGGAGCCTCAGCTACGTGTCGCCTATGCTCCTCCCCTACCTCTGCTTCGGCGGCCCTCTCCTTCACACTGGACTTCGGCGTGTGTCACTGCTTTTTCCAAGACCGCACTGCACTCATGCCGCTCCCTGCACCGGTACCGGTCTCCCTAGCAGACCCATCTGCAGCAAGTGTAGCCCACAGCACCACGGCTCTTCCCTGTCCGACTATCCCGTCCAGCTCCCTTACCGACTTGCATATCCCCACGTTTTCCAAGAACTTAGTTGGTGTCGGTCATATCCAGGACCTCGGTGTCACCACCACGTTCCCCGGTCGAACGAGATATGCAGTTTGTATAGACGGGGCCATGAGCGCCCATCTTGCTACCTTTGACCGTAACCTTGCGTCCGATCTCTTCACACTGCATAGAGAGTCCCCCCATGTAGCCGAGTTCACCCAGGTTGCCGCTTCCTGCTCTTGTTGCTCCCTTACCCATCCGACACTCCTGTGGCACCACCGTTTAGGTCACCCTACTCTCCCCCGTCTGCGTCACATGGTTCGCTACGATTTTCCCGTTGGAGCGGATGGCAGACGTGCCTGACGCCCTCCTCCCGTGGCTCCGTGTCGTCCGCACCCGGCGCTCCCTACCTTTCCTCCGTCTTCACTCCAACGTGGTGGTGGGTTCGCCTCAGGTCGCCTTGGTTGTTTGTGTCGTATGAAGGCCATCACCCAAATGTTCACTCTTCCGGACTCGCCACAGCAGAATGAGGTACCTGAGCATTGCATCGGCTTGGTCATGGAGGTGGCTCACACCTCCATGGTCCATGTCGGAGCCCCCCATTTTCTGTGGTCGTTCGCGGTGCGTTACGTGGTTCACAAGCTTAACATTCAGTCTCGCTTCTCGTAGCCACAGGTTTCACCAACCCTCCTCTGCACTAGGTTTCCGAGTATCGTGTCGGCGTTCCACGTCTATGGCTGCGTGGCTCACGTCTGCACCCCTGGCGCGGACAAGCTCTCAGCCCGCACTCTCGCCTGTGTCTTCCTCGGGCTCTCGCTCAGCACTCTTGACTGGCTGTTCTACCACCCGGGACCGCACTGCTTCTTTTACTCTTATAACATTACTTTCGCCGAGTCCGTCTCTTTTATGCTTGCTTCCCACATCGTGGCAATCGTGTTCCTCCTCCACCTCTCTTCCTCATTATTGCATCACCTGCCACTCCCCTCCCACCCCGCCCGACCACGTCTCGTGTCTCCCATGCCACTCCCCTCCCCTCGGTTGGGCCTGTGGGGAGAGTCTGTTGACTCTGGAGGCCCCGTGGCTGGGGGTGTGCTTGCTGCAGCTGCAGTGCCCCTCCCCCCAGCCCCGGTGTCCCAGGCACCTCAGCAGCCTCCCCCGCTGCCGCAGTCGTAGCAGTAGCAGCAGCCGTAGCAGCAGCCGTAGCAGCAGTCGCAGCAGGAGCAGCGGCGGGAGATGGTGGCATTTGAGGGTGCTAGTTCTAGGGATGTTGGTTCTAGGGGTGCTAGTCTTGGGGGTGCTGGCTCGAAGAGTAATGACGATAGTAGTGGTGGGGTTGGGGGTTTTGGCACTGGTCGGGAGCAGCCGCAGCAACAAGATTGGCAGCAGTAACAGCCGCAGGACCAGCAACAATCGTAGTCTGCCCTTCGTCCACTTAACCTTCCATCCAGTTCCCCTGACCGACCACCCGTCCCTCCTACTCTACCTCCCCTCCTGCCTGACCCTGTCTACGGTCCGCTGTTGCCCCCCCCCCCGGACTCCTCTCCGGCTCGTTTTTCCCCTCACTCTCCTCCGTCCCCTGTCCTGCCCCCCGTACCCCTTCGTCCCCAGTCCCCCGCTCTTCCCCACTGGGTCCGTCGTCCCCCTGTTGGTCGTGCTGTCTCTCCCCGTGCGTGTGTCCACTCCATGGATCTTCGTTGTTGTGCTCCTCTAGTCCCCATCCTTCCGCTCCCTCCCAAGTCGTCCCTACCCATGTCCTTTGCTGCTCCCTCTGACACTGCTCGCACTGCTCATCCAGTTGTCTTCCGCTTGCTTGCGTCGCTTGTCACTGACCCTACTCATCTTGAGGGTGTCCATGCTTTTTTCATTGCTGCCATCGTCCTGGCTACACTTCCGCTCTAGTATCTGACCTTGCCTGTCCTCCATCCATCAGAGGTGCACCTGTTCTTGGCACTGACGTTCTAGAGGATAGGCAGTAGAAGCTAGCTTTCTTTGCAACTGCGGTACCTTATCTTTGCGCCATGCTTGTGTCCCCTGAGGGTGCCCTGGACATCCCTATCTTGTGCTCCTACACTGATGCGGTCTCGGGTGCCCGGACAGCCTAGTGGATACAGGCCATGGAGGCAAAGATTGCATCTTATAGATCCACAGGCACTTACGTCAACGCAGTTCTTCCACATGGGATGAACATAGTCGATGGCATGTGGATCTATAAGGTGAAGCGCCCGCCTGGAGAGCCACATGTGTTCAAGGCGCGCTATGTGGCTAGAGGTTTCAGTCGGTGAGAGGGTGTGGACTTCGTCCAAAACTTCTCCCCTACCCCGAAGATAACTACTCTTTGGGTGCTCCTCCACGTGACCGCGCAGTGTGACTATGATCTCCACTCCCTAGACTTATCGACAACCTTCTTCCACAGCAACCTTCATGAGCAAATCTACATGCGGCGCCCACCAGGCTTCACTGAGTTCTTCCTACCTGGGATCCAGTGGAGTCTGCGCCGCCCTTACGGTCTGCGGCAGACGTCACGTGAGTGGCACGACACGCTCTGCACTACACTCCCCGCTCTTCAGTTCTTCCCGTCCTCTGCTGACCCCTCTCTTTGTTCATACTGGGCAGACTCCGTTCTACATATTTGTGTACGTAGACGACCTCATCTTTGCTACATCTGACAGAGTCGTACTGGCCTTAGTGAAGGCCGAGCTTCTCAGGCGACATGCTTGTACAGACCTGGAGAGTTGCGGCGCTATCTGGGCTTGGAGATCTCTCGTGAACGTACCGCACGCACGATCACACTCTCCCAGTCCTAACATGGTGCAACAGATCCTGTAGCGGTTCGGCCTTCCGTTCTCTTCAACACAGCCCACCCCACTGCTTGTAGACTACAAGCTCTCTACTCTGTTCCTGCTAAGCATGTCGAGCCCAGTGATCCATACGCAGAGCTGGTGGGGTGCCTCATGTACCTGATGACGTGCATTCGACCAGATCTAGCGTACCCTTTCAGTATCTTTGCTTGCTTTGTTACGACTAGCAGACACCGACGAGAGCACTGGTTGGCTGCCAAAATGGTGTTGCGGTATCTGGCGAGTACATCAGGACTAGGGCTTGTGCTGGGAGGACGGGAGCCAGTGGTCCTCACTGGACACACAGACGCGTCGAGGACTAACGACCTAAAGACACTCAGGTCCTCACAAGGCTAATGCTTTAGCCTTGGTGCGACAAAGATCTACGCTGGGGCTATGGCAATTCAGGAGCTCCGCTGTCTGACATTCTTGCTCACAGACTTAGGTGAGCGGCTTAGCTCTGCCCCGGTCCTATTTGCTGATAACAAGGCAATGGTCTGCATGTGTCAGAGGCTAGACTTGAGGGCAGGGCGAAGCACATCCAGCTGCGGTACTTCTTGCTGCGTGAGTTGCAGTAGCGCGGTCAGGCTCGTATAGTACAGTTGGCCTCGGAGGCTAACACTGTTGATATCTTCACCAAGTCCCTAAGGCCTCGTGACCATCGGCAGTTTTGCACTCAGCTTGGTCTAGTCTCAGCTCAGTTGCCTCTCCCTTGCTTGTATGTTGGTCTGTGCTATACCTGCTTTGTATTTGCTACTCTATTTCGGTTGCCTTGTTACATTTGGTGACTGGCCTTTTGACCTTTGTCTCCGTGGTCAGACTATTAATGCCGCCCCGAGCTGTTTTGTTACATACTTTAGAGGTCAGACTAGTAGTGCTGCCCTGGATTTCCATTTCTTGTTAGGGTCTGCCCCCTACCGAGGCTTAGGGTTGTGTTAGCGTTCATATATGTGTTTGCATTATACTAACTATAGCCTAGCTAGGGTTCATGCTCATATAGGGTACAACACTAGATATACCCAACAGTCTTGCCTAGCCAACTTTCGTCTCGACAGCTCCACCAGAATGCTTAGGGTGAGCGAATAACGTAAATGGGAGAAATGCAGCCTTTGTCCACCCACCCAATATAGAGCTTGTCTTCAGCCCGTATAAGGATTTCAACTCCATTATTAATTAGCTTGAGGTAGAATGAACCAGCCACTCCATGTATTGAAGGAATAAGATTAGTTTCAGTCAGGATCTAGATACAAAGCTAGCTAGGTGTAGTGTAGGGCCTTCTGCAAGATCCATCACAGTAACAGCTATTGACAGCTATTATATCATACAGTAACAGCATAGTAATACAGTAACAGCTATTGGCAGCAGGCAGCCACCTCTGCCAGTGAGGCTCTCAGCTGCTCATTGGACAGAGGCTTGGTCATGAAGCCGTTCATCCCAATCTCCAAGCACCTCTCAGGAGCACCCGCCACTAGGTCTGCAGTGATTGCGAATATGGGAACCTGGTGCCGCCCCATGCGCTCCTCCAGCCGTCGGATCTCGATGGTTGCATCGTAGCCATCCATCACAGGCATCTGCCATTGTAGCAAGAAATCACGAAGGTCTAGTTGAGTGCCAAGGTATCGACGGGGAAAGAGGAGGGATGGAGGAGGAAGGATGACCTCCTCCAAAGTTTTGCAATCAAAAGACTGGGGAAAGACGCGCTTGAAACTGGGGAGAGGGAAGTGGGGAGAGGAAAGTGGGGAGAGAATGTGGGAGGAGAGGGTCAGGGTGGGTGGTTGGAAGCAGAGCACGCACCTGGAGATCCATGAAGACACACACAAACCCCTCCCCACCGCCACCCTCACCACCCCCTCCATCACCACCACCACCCCCCTCCGCCCCTCCCTCCACCGCCTCTCTGAAGCGCTCCACAGCCACCAGCCCATCGTGGGCCTGCACGCCCACCATGCCGTACGGCCGCAGCTTCGCCAGCACCACCTTGCGGTTCACCGCGTTGTCGTCCACCACCAGCACACGCCTCCCCTTCAGCCGCGCCGCCAGGGATTTGGGGGAGAGCGGTGGGGCGGGCATCTGGCTCGGCTCTTCCTGCCGCCCTGCCGGGATTGCTGCTTCCTCAGGAGGTTGCGGTGCTTCAGAGGCCGTTTTGGCCTGTGCCTGTCCTCCTCGCCCTTCCACCTCCTGCCCTGTTATCCGTTCCCTCCTTGCCTCTGCAGCTGCCTCTCTTATCCTCACTCTGCCCCCCCCCTCGTCCTCTATGTGCTTCTGTTTGTCGCCTTCACTGCTACCCCTTTCTACAAGCCCCTCCTGCTCCCACCTCTCCTCCTCCCTCGCTTCACACTCCCTCATTCCCTCGGCGGCAGCAGCAGCAGCAGCAGCAGCAGCCGCGGCTGTAGCAAGCTCTTCCTCTACCAGTCCAGTCAGAGACAGTGCTGCCGGCAGCGCTACAACTTCTGCTGCTACAGCCTCAGCTGCTGAGTCCTCTCCTGCTGCTATACGCCCAGCTGAAGCTTCTGCTACAGACATGGCGGCAGGGGCTGCTGCATTTGAAGCTTCAGAAGGAGTTAAAACGCGAGCAGAGGATCTAGTGGCAGCAGGCGCGGGCGCAGCAGCAGCAGAGAAAGCGGAGCAAGGGGAGGCAGCAGAAAGCAGCGCGGCACCGGATGGTGCCTCTGCTCCCTGTGTTACTCCCCCAACAGCTGCAGCCGTGCAGTGATAAGGAAGAAAGAGGGCAGGGGAGAAGGGAGAGCAGGAGGGAGAGGAGGAGGGGGAAGAGGAAAGAGCGGAGGATGCAGTGGCGGCGGTGGGGGTAGCCCGGACGTCAGGACCCCAGCTATGAGACGGTGACACCTGCGGTGACACCCGTGACCTCGGCTGGCTTCGGCTGCTGCTGATGCTGGACGTGCTGCCGGGACTGGTGCTACAGAGCTCCATGCCGCGGGCAGTATCCATGTCCCCGTCTCCATCAAATGCCAGCATGTCGGGAAACCGGGTGGTGCTTCCCAGTCGCCGCTCCCTCACTCTCGCCTCCTCCCCTCCGGCCTCCATCCCTCCTCTTCTGTCTCTTGCGCCTCTTGCGTCCCTTGTGCCGTGTGGCGTGCTTGTCTCTGCCTCAGCGAATCTCGCCCTTCCTCTCCACTCTCCTGCGGCGCACTCTTCGTCTGCGTCTGCAAACGTGACTCCTCTCCTTCCTCCCCTCTTCCCTTGGCTCCCCGACCAATCAGCTTCCAGGGTCTTGGCTCGTCTCACCACCACCCCCTCCTCCCCCTCAACCGTCACCTTGCTTTCTCCTCCCTTTCCCTCCTCCCCCCTCAGCGCACTTTCAGTCTCCCCTCCCTCCCCACCTTCCGCTCCCCACCTTCCATCAATCAGCAGATCCATTTCAGAGGACCAGGAGGAGGGGGTAGCACCCAGCCTACCACCACCATATGCATGTTGCCCAGTTATACCTTCCCCAGTTCGATCTTCCCCAGTTATACCTTCCCCAGTTGCACCTTCCCCCACACGCACCTCCCTGCTGCTACCAGCAGCACCAGGCACACCGAGGTTAGCAGCTGACGGGTAGCCCTCCCTCTCCCCTCTCCTCCTCTCCGTCCAACTCCGCACCCCCTTAGTAGCAGCCCTGATACTGCCACCATCCCCTGCAGCAACTCTTGTGCTACAGACAGTGCTGCTGCTGCCACCACTATCAGCTGTAGCGCCCCTTGCATTGCTGGCCTTGCTGCATGCGAGGCTGCTGGTGCTGTGGCTGTTCCCTATCTTATACTTGCCGGACTTAGTGCTGCCTCTCACCCTGCTCTTATCACCACTGGAATCACCACTGGTGTACCCACCACCATCAATTGTATAAGCAGCAGCAGCAGCAGCAGCAGCAGCAGCAGAAGCAGCAACCGATCTTGGGCCACCAGACCTTTCGACAGAGCCAAGCGTCCGCACTCGGCCACTTGAACGAGCAACCGGCCCCTCCCCATCGCTGTAACACACCACGGCCTGGGGAGGCTGGTTACCCTGCTGGTTACCACCATCACTGTAACACAGCAGGGCTTGGGGAGACTGGTTACCAGATTGGATACCAGGCTGGATACCAGGCTGGTTACCAGGCTGGTTACCAGGCTGGTTACCACCACCATCACTATCAACCACATTTCGTCCTGCTGCCTTTTCTGCCCGTGCTACTGCTGCAGCAGCAGCAGCTGCACCAGCATCATCACCAGCAGCACTAGAGCCAGCGGTGGCACCAACAGCACTTGCACCAAAAGCACTGGGAGCACCAGCCGCAACGGCTACAGCAGCAGCAGCAGCAGCTCGCCTCCCCGACTCGCCCCATCGGCCGGGAGTCAGGGATCGGAACACCGCCCGAACCTGCTGCTCCACCCTCTGCCGAACCGGGGAAGGCAGCCTCGGTTTCACTGAAGCTCCAGGCGATTCTGGTGCGGCAGCTGCCTCCGATGCTCCAGATTCTGCAGCCAAGTCCCCCGATTCTGCATCTGGAGTCTTCGACCCCCCTCTTGCTGCTCCCCATTTGTCTAGTCTCGGACTGACCAGTGGCAAGATGAAAGGTCGCGAGATCACACCCACAGGGCCAGACACGTGTGCTCCAGTGGAGAGGCTCTGGTGAGTGGCTGTTACTGCTGCTGTGAATGGTGGCGGCTTTGGACTCGACTCAGACGCAGTCCATGCTGTGTGTGGCGACGCTGGCCCACTGCCTTGGCTCGGAGGCATCTGCACTTGGCTTGGAGGTATCTGCACTCTCACCTTTTGCTGCTTCTCCTGCCGCTGCTGCCTCTCCCCCATCGCCTGCCTCTCCCCCTCGTGTGTGGGCCAAGCCTCCTCAGAACTCTCAGAGCTGCTCCTAGCAGCGCCAACCAGCAGTCTCCCTGCCCTTACCTCCCCCCTCATCCCTCTCCTCTCCCCTCCGCCAACTTCTACCCTCTCCCCTCCTCTCTCTGCAACGCAGGGAGGGTCACTCGCCCCTGACGCTGCTGCCGCTGCTGCTGCTGCTGCTGCGGCTGCTGCCCCTGCTGCTGCCACAGCAGTAGTTGCAGCAGCAGTGGACGGGTTAGCAGCTGAAGGGATGGAGACGGGGCGTGGGGAGGAGAGGGCGAGGGAGGAGGAGGAGGAGGAGGTGGAGAGAGAACCGGCGGTGAGAGAGGAGGGGAATGGGAATGCCGGAACGGGGAGGAGGAGGGGGGAGTAGGCTGAAGGGGTCATAGGGCTGTGGGGATTGGGGTGGTGAGGAGGAGGGGAGGGAAGGCGAGGACCGAGGGACGAGAGGGAGGCAGCAGCACAAGACACGGTAGGAGGAGTAGCAGAGGGGAACGGAGGGGCGCTTGCCATCGCAGCCATCGTGGCCACAGCGCCTGTGGTCACAGACGAGCTGGTGCTGCTGGGAATTGAGGGCAAGAGGAAAAAGGAGGGTTGAGAGAGACGGGCAGGGGTGGAGGAGGAGGCGGAGGAGAAGGAGGAAGGGAGATGCAGAATCGAAGATGGTGGTTGCACATAGGAGGAGGCACGCACTCGCGGGTCCCCAGCACTGGGCTCAGCAGCCAGTATGGACTCGTTACAAGGCGATTCAGTTCTCGATACCAGCTTCGCTGAGGCAGCTTGCTCCGTCTGCTGTAGCTCGCCCCCTGCTGTGATGCCTGGGTGCTCAAGGCTTGGCTGCTTGCGGTGGTGGCTGCTAGCATGAATCGCTTCTGCTGCCGCAGCAGCAGGTGGCACAGGGTCACCAGCAGCCGCCGCAGCAAGCGATGCAGGGCCAACAGCAGCAACAGAAGTCACAGCAGACGCAGGAATAGCAGCAGCAGCAGCAGCAGCAGCAGCGGCAGCAGCGGGAGTGGCAGCAGCAGCAGCAGCAGCAGCAGCGGCAGCAGCGGGAGTGGCAGCAGCAGCAGCAGCAGCAGCAGTGGCAGCGCTAGAAGAGTGAGCAGCAGGAGGAGCGGCAAGAGGCGTCAAGGGGGACAGAGTCTGTGTGTAATGAGTCGACTCAAAACTCGACTCATTACAAGCGGCAAGAGGCGTAGCGGCAAGAGGCGTAGCGGCAAGAGGCGTAGCGGCAAGAGGCGTCAAGGGGGACAGAGTCTGTAGTCCCGCCCCCCATTGCGACTCTCGTTCAGTGATCGGTACCCATTCCACTCCCGCTGCAACCCCTGCCGCTCCTTCAGCCTCTGCTGCTGTCTCTGTTCCTCTGCTTGTTCCTCTCCCTACACCAGTCACTGCCTTGTTCGCTGCTGCTGCTGCTGCTGTCTCTGTTCCTCTGCTTGTTCCTCTCCCTACACCAGTCACTGCCTTGTTCGCTGCTGCTGCTGCTGCTGCTGTCTCTGTTCCTCTGCTTGTTCCTCTCCCTACACCAGTCACTGCCTTGTTCGCTGCTGCTGCTGCTGCTGTCACGGCTGCAGCAACCGCTTCCTCTGCATCTCTCTCCCCTCTCGCCCCTGTTGGTTTCTGGTAGCTCTTCCTGCGACCCCAACTGCGAGACATCCTCCTCTGCCTCCCACTCACACCATCCCTCTCCCCATCTCTCTCTCTTTCTCCCTCCCTTTCCTTCCTCTCTCTCTCATCATCCCTCCCCTTCTCCTTCCCTCCCTCAATCATCTTCTCTTTCTCTCTCTCCACTACTCTCCGTCCCAAATCCTCTCGCCTGCCCGAAAACGTCCGGCTGATCCTGCCCGAAACCCTAACAGCAGCAGGGAACAGGAGGAAACGTTTGCTGCTGCTGCCCAAGCGAGCAACAGGGGTACCACCCTTGCTGACGTCACTGCCAGGACTGCTGACGTGGCCCTGGGCAACACCAGCACGATTGCCACTCAAAGTGCCACTGTTCCTCTTCCCACCGTTACTGCTACTGTAGCTGTTACTGTTACCACTCGCGCCGCTGGTACCGCTCAGGTGGGAGCTGCTGCCAGCAGTGGACAGGGCCGTGGATATACCCACCTCAGAATAGACAAACTTTGCCAGCCAGTCGGTGAGCGTCCAGCAGGAGAGTAATGCCGTGTCGATGGCGTCCCTCTGGTCCTGGTCCAACTCGCACTCTTCCACTAACAACTGGAGCATGCCTGTCGTTGGGGGAGGGGGTGGAGGAGGGAAGGCAGGGAGGGGGAAGAGGGGTGTTGGGGGTGCAGGAGAGCAGTGCAGTGTCAATGGCGTCCCTCTTGTCCTGGTCCAACTCGCACTCCTCGCACTCCTCACATTCCTCGCACTCCTCGCACTCCGAGCACTCAGGTGCTTTCAACGCCCCTGAATTCGCAAGCACTCACCTATGATGCCGTTGATTGGAGTGCGGATCTCGTGCGAGATGCACCCGAGGAACTCCTTCTTCGCCCTCACCGCCCCCTCCTGGGTCGCCCGCGCAGCAGCCAGCTCTCTCAAGTGTCTGGCGGTCTGCGCCTCCATGCGCTCCGCCAGCACCCACATGGCCCACAGGCAGCATGTCACCAGCGCGATGGCGAAGACCAGACTGCCGCACACCACCGATACCTGCAGCCCGAACCCGAACCGCACCCGCTGCTGCTGCCGGTGGTGGTGGCGGTAATATTGTTGCTGCTGCTGCTGCTGAAACTGGTGCAATTCCAGGGGACTCTGCTGCTGCTGCAGCAGCGGGTGATTCTCCTGCGCCCAGGGCTGCACGGCAACCTCTCCCCCTGCTCCATCCGCCACCACCCCCGCCCCCGTGGCGAGTATCCCAATGAGCAGCACCATGGCTATGAGCGCCAGGCCGGCAAGGAGGCACCACAGGCAGATCACCAGCTGCCGCCAGTGCGACAAAGGAGGTGGGGTGGATGGCGGGTACGCGTGCTGGCCGCTGGTGCTGGTGCTGGTGCTGCTGGTGGTGGTGGTGGGAGTGGTGGTGGGAGTGTTGTCTTTGTGCTTGGGCTTGTGCTTCCTGCTGTGCTGCTGACTCGTGTGCTGCTGGTTGTGTCGTCGACTGAATCGCTGGCTGTACCTTGAACCGTGCTCTACTTCCTGCTTGTATGCCCCTCCCTCTCGCTCCTTCCTCTCAAGGCTCCTCCGCCCTCTCCCTACCCCTACCCCTCCCCGTCCCCCTGCCCCTTCCCCTCCTTGAATCTGCTGCCCCTCACATACCAACGACCCATCATCACCTGCATCCTCCCACTCCCCGTTCCATTCCGCCACTTCCTTCCTCAGCCTATCCGCCCGGCTGCTTGTCCTCTTTACAGGCGCACCCAGCTCGCTATAGTCACCCGAACCTTCCCCCGAGCCTGTATGTACAAATGGTCGAGCAGGTTCGGCAAGGCTGGCTGCTGGAGCAGATGCTGCCTTGGCAGCAGGTTCGGCAAGGCTGGCTGCTGGAGCAGATGCTGCCTTGGCAGCAGGTTCGGAGATAGGTTCGGAAAGATCTGTAGGAGGTCCGGTAGGCGCAACAGCAACAACAACAGCAGCGGCGGCAGAGGCGGTTGTGGTGGCATATGCAGTAGGCCTGTCAGCAAGTGCCACGTCAGCAGTCGCAGGGCACTGTGCAAGAGGTTCCCCTGCTAATGCACCTCCCAAGCTGGCCAGATGGCCAATGCTGCCGACAAATGCTGACTCATCAAGCGCTGACCTGTCGCTCGGCGTCAGCGACCCCATGCGTGACTCATCACGTGCCAACCTGGAATGACATGGCATGATCCCTCTTTGCGAGTTCCCCAAGCCCAGCTGGTCAGCAAGAGGACCCTCAGCATCCCACACCCCTCGCGCCTCCTCTCCTTCTCCCCCCTCCTCATCTTCCCCTGCCCCTTCTTCTCCCCTGCCTCTCCCCCTCCCCATGTACCCCTCTCCACCGCTCTGCACCGAGCCGCCGCTGCTGCTCTGGCCGCTGAGGCGGCGCTGGACCTGCTGCTGGTACTGCTGGTGCTGCCGGGGGTCCAGCAGATAGCTCCTCAGACCCCCTCCCCCTCCCCCTCCGCCTCCCCCTGCCGCTCCTCCCCCTGCCGCCCACACCAGGCTGCACCTTCGCCTGGGACGAACACTGAACCCCTCACACGGCCGCCCACTCATGCTGCTGCGACCAGTCATGCTCACACGCCCCGTGGTAGCCGTAACAGGGTTACCAGCGCGGCCAGAAACAGGGTTACCAGTGCGGCCAGAAACAGGGTTACCAGCATTGGCTGCAGCCACGTTACTGACTTGGCCAGTGACGCTGGGGGTGCTAGTGAAAGGGGTCTGGTTACCACCTGTGTTACCAGCATGGGCTGTAACCTTAGGAGTACCTTTTCCAGTGCTTTCGCGGCTAAGGGGACTCGGTCTAACGGTGCTGCTCCTGTTACTGTTGCTACTGCCGGGTCGTCCCAAGCTGTTACCAGTACCGGTGGGTCGGACAAAAGTGTTACTAGACCGGCCGGAAACACTTACCCTCCCTGTAACACCTGCTCTCCTCCCTGATTGGCTCATCCGCACACCGATTCGCCCTGGACCAGCGCCTCTGTTTACAGCACCCAGCCTGGTGGTTACACCGTCTGTAACACTTGCCCACGGCAGTGTGCTGCCTGCAATATGGCCAGGCAAATGCTGGCCGCTGCTGCTGGTAGCGGTGGTGGTCGGGCCAATCTTGGAAGGGGTGGGGGTGGATAAAGGAGTTGCCTTGAAAGGGTTTGGCTTGTAAGGGTTGGGGTTGCTGTTGTCGCTTATGGTGAGTTCGTCTTGAACCAGGTCCATCAGGGGCACGGGCTGCAGCCAGTCTTCCTCGCCTGCTGCTGCCTTCAAAGCGTCCACGCTTGAAACTGAAACAGGTGCCGCTGCGGGTGACGCCGCAGATGCATCTCTGGCAGCAGCAGCAGCAGCAGCAGAAACGGGTACAGCAGCAGCAACATCAGCAGCATCAGCGGCATCAGCGGCATCAGCACCAGCACCAGCAGCAGTAGCACCAGCAGCTGCAGCAGCACCTACATCATCAGCATCAGCAGCAGTCGTCGCAACAGCATGAGCGGCAGCAGGGACCAAATCCACACACTCACTAGTCCCAGCCCCAGCCCTTTCCTGATTCGAGGAAACTTCCAGCTCACTTCCACCTCGGTCTCCCGATTGGCCGAGCATCAGCACTTGCTGATCGGTCGAGAACAGCTGATCCGCTAAAAAGGTGACGGCTTTGGACGCCAGGCCCGCTGCGATGGCCTCTGAGAGGGCGTCCAGGTACGCCTCGGACCGCGCCACAAAGGCAGGGGGGTTTCTGTCGCTCTTGATCGCCCCAATGTCACTAAAGCTGGAGCACTTCTCCACGTTGATTGCTACGCCGCTGCTGCTGCTGCTACTGAAGGTATCTGCGATACCATCACCGCCCAGAACTCCCGATCTGGTGCTACCACCACCGCCCGCAGCTCCCAATCTGGTGCTACCATCACCATCACCAGCAGCACCAGCAGCAGGAGCGACGTCCCAAGAGCCAATTGGCGCGCTAGCAAGGTCCTGAGCAGCGCCATACACCCGAAAGGTGGTTACCACTCCATGTGTACATCCGCCACCACCCCCATCCGCGTTATAAGGTTGAGTACTCGCATCCTTGCCATGCGCAAAAATGCCTGTTGGCACTCGAGCCATGGCTTCCCCAACCACTCTCCACTCCTCCTTATCCCCTTGTTCCTTTCTCCCCTCCTTATTCCCCCTACCTCTCCTCCCTCTTCTCCTCCTCCCCACCCTGCCGCTGCTGCTGCTGTTTCCCCCCTTCCTGCTGCTGCTGTCGCTACTCTCCCCCTCCTTGCCACCCCCTTTCCTGCTCCCCCCTGCCACGTCATCACACCACGCCCTCCCTGACGAAGCTGCCTGGCAGGTTCCTCCCACTGTGGCGCGCCTTACGAGCGCCCTCTCTCCCCTTGCGCCTTCCCCTCCCCCCGCCTTGCCCGCGGACCCCAGATCCCTCGCCTTAGGAACGCGAGCGCGCATCCATTTCGCCACGCCCTTGATCTCCTCCGCATCCCCGCCTACCGGTTTCCCCCCCGCGCCTTTCCCGCTGTCCGCGCGCGTAAGCCCTCTCCTTTCCTTCCAGCTCCCCCCCCTGCTCTCCCCCGCGTCATTCCCCGTCCCCAGGCCAACCGTCCGCCTTCCCCACGCGGGGCTGGGTGGCCGCCGGAAGTCGCGCTCCACGTCTTGTTCCCCGTGCCCCTTCGCCGCCCCTCTATCGACGCGCGACTCCCCGCGCGACTCCCCGCGCAAGATCCCGCTACCTATTCTAATAACATCTCCTCCCGGTCTCCTAATCTCGCACACCCCCACTGCGGACGTCGTCACGCTTCGCTGCCTCGGCCCTCGCGGCGTCGCTACTGCTGACGATTCCGAGTCAGCGCCCGGGAAAACCGCCAGATTCTCCCAACTGCTGCTGCCCGTCGACTTTAACGACCCCATTGAACTCGCGGTAGCCGCCGCCGCCGCTTCTCGAAGCGCGCGCTGCTCCTTCCGCTGGCGCCGCCGCTCGCGCACTTGCCGCAAATCTACACTCTCAAGCGCCAATTCCCCCACCCTTTCGAGCTTTGTAGAACTCCGCGCGCAGCCCTCTAATCCCCGCCAATGGGACAGGTTAGGTGCCCCTTTGGGCGAAGAAGCAGCAGCGTGCGAATCCGCGATGAAATTGTCGTCGAAACCGGAGCGAGAGGACGTGCATGACGCGATGCTCCAATCGGAACGACCCACGCCGCTGGATCCACCACTGGAGCCGCAATCAACGGCTGTCCCGCCGCTTCCGTCACGTGACTTGGTATCGTTTAGGTGCTCGTTCTGCTGCTGCTGCTGCTGGCGTCGGCCATCAGTGAAAACAGTAGCAGTAGGTGAGAATGACACATGGGCTTCCCGTGCCGAGTTAGCCGCAGCAACCGAGTAAGCCGCATGCCCCTCCGCTCTTCCATAACCACCATAACCACCGGCGGGAGACGAGGAGTCTCGATTCAGAGCCTCGCGAGGGGACAGGCGGGGAGCTACCAGCTTCCATAACCACCTCGCAGGCATGGTTGATGGCGCCTAGGGAACGGAGTGCCTAGGAACTGGCCTAGGGACTGGCGCTCGGGACTGCCTGCGTGGATCGGACTTTACAAGTACTTTGACTGCGCTTGAGTCACGTGACGGTCTTCCGGCATGCCGAACAGTCAAAAAGAGGAGGGTGGCTGGCGGCACTCAGGCGTGCCTGCTGCTGCTCCCTGCCATGCTGCTGCTTGCTCCTGCTGCTCCTTGCCGTGCCTGCTCCCAAGTGCCTGCGCCTAAGTGCCTGCTTCTAGTGCATGCGCCGGTCGGCCTGCGCCGGTCTGCCTGCTGCTGCTTGTAAGCAGCGACGGAGCTGGCCGCGCGTTAGGGGCTGTACAGCTGGCGAGGAATGCGTCCGTCAAGAGAAAATTGGGACCGTCCAGTCCAGGGAAAGCGTGTGCGTCACGGGACCAGAAAGCGCGCAGAAAGGCGTGTCGGAGAAGCAACCTCCGGATTGGTGGTTCCTGTCACGAGTCAACCAATGGACGGGTGCATTCCAAGCCCTTCATACGGAAGGGCGGGGCGAGAGAGATTCGGTTCTGCGCACGCGTCGGCCATGCGGGTCCAAAAGGGGGAATTCCGCCGTGGGGACGCTTCGACGGCGCGAAAGGACGTGGCGAGCAGCCAGCTCTCGAGCGGCGCGGCAGAAGCGGAAGAGCCGGGCAGGTGACTGGAATGGCAGCCCTTGATAGCGCGGAGAGGAATTACCTCGCGTTCGCTGAGATTCGGAAGCTCTGACACACAATCAGGCTGACGTGGATTTTTAAGGGTGTCGCGCTGTCTTTCACGTGAAGCTGCGGAGAGGAACTTGCATGCAGCAGGCCTGGTGAGATAATTTAGCACAGTGAGATCACGTGGAGTCAATTCCCGAGATCGCTCGCTGCGGTCCTCGCTTTAGCGTTCGGTCCTGGTATCGTATTGCAGCGAAAGTTTCTACTTAAGAAGGTCTACGGTCATATCTGGTTGGCGTCGCGATGCGAGCAAATGTGGGAAAGGCGACCTTTCGCTAATCTCTCCATGCAGGCCTGTTCCTGCCATAAGCCTCGATTCTCTCTGTCAACTCATATCTGGAACTGTTGTGCTGGGTTTGGCTAGTAGGCAAGAGGCAGGAAGGAAGGAGGAATCGAGAGGCTGAATGGGATGGATGGAAGTCTCAAGGCGGGATGGAGGTGTGACGGGAACAGATGAGCTTTCCACTTCACCCCTTTCCCTCCTTTCTGGAGCTCGTTGTGGTAACTCCCTGCTTTCTTCGTAAACTTTTCGCAGGCCGGATACTGACGCAAAACTTATTCGTCAAGGTTGTCGTTTAATTCGCAGACCGGGTATCGACGACGAATTGCATTCGCGGGAAACCATTTCGCTGCTGACCACAGGTAACTGCACGGAGAGCAGGCAAACACGATGCCCGACCGACCAGATGACACGATAACGCATGGCGCGGGCAGACGCTGTTTGACGTTCACAACTGCCCAAACCCAAGCACCGCCACACAAATGCCTGAATGTGCGAATGGGACATTGTCTTGTTCAGAAATGCGGCATCACGGTCAGCAATGGCGGGATGCAGCGACGATGTAATTTGGACCCAGGATGGGTGACTGGAATTGTACGGTAGCCAGAAAGCCCCTCCTGCTCTCGATAAAAGGTGTAGCCCAACTCGAAAAAAGGAAACAAGGAAGATAAAGGGAAGTAAACAAAATTGTACTGGAGGACCTGACAAAGTAAAATAAATCGCTCGTCAAAGCACTTCCGGCCCGTCAACCTCCCGCGGAATGGGCGGGAGGAACGTTCATCGAGTCCGGCAGTGCGCCTTGCAGTACACGTGTCTGGACGGCATTCGCGCTCTGGGCTGGAAGCCTCGGCTCCCTTCACAAATTCGGAAGAGGAGATGAATCCAGGGTGCATGCCCTTTTATAGTTGCACAGCTCCCGGGTCCCCTGTAGAAGAACATTTAGATCAAACATACACTTTTCATTATATCTGGCCATCTCCAACCTACAACAAATCCTAGAGTATAACGTGTAGAAATACATAGCAATATGTAACTTGGACAAACCACTCAACCGTAGTGTTTCAACAAAAACTATCCTTCTCCCCCAGGATACCAATGCCATTGGAGTGTCGTAGAATGACGCCGCTGAACGACGCGGAGATGGTCGTCGAAACCGATCCGTCGCTAGCTACAGTGGCGGCAACGCCAGACAAACGGATACGGGGTTTTATCAAAAGGGGCACGTTTTGGACCCATTCCCTTCGACGATGTCATTCCCGGAGGTTCGGCATTCGGGGGAAAGGAGGCGCTGCCGGCCCCCCCGGCTGTTCTGCCCTAGGGGTCCCAGTCCCAAACACGAGGACCTGGGCCTTGGTGTTAGAATACTAGAATTGAAGAGGCGCCATGAATGGCGAGAGGTTTAGGTGCTAAGAAAAATATCGAGAGAGAAGAGAATGAGATTAGAAGAGAGAGGGATACAAGAAGGGGGGTTGTCCCCTCTACAGTATGATCCAGTAACACATACCAAGCCTACAATTATATATATATATATATATAAATATATAATTTAACACACCCCCTAGGCTTGGTAGTCACAAGCCCACCCCACATGCAACACCTCTAAACCTAGCACCCCCATACCCTGCAGCAGAGGTGACTGCAGGGAAGGAAGGCACTAGGCATCCTTGAGCTGCGGCGGGGCGGAGCCAGCTAGCGTGGCGAGCTGGGTCCGCTGGACCGACGCGGCGAGCTGAGTCCGACGCAGCGAGCTGGGTCCGACGCGGCGAGCAGGGTCCGACACGACGAGCTGGGGAGGCGCGGCGAGCTGGAGTGCGGGCTTGCTGCCTAGTGCATAAACCAGTGCGCGACCCACTGCCGCAGGACGAAGCCGCCACGTCGAGGCTGTCACAGCAGCACGACAAAGCCGTCATGGCAGCACGACACGGCCGCCACGGCGGCGCGGAAGTAACGAGAAGGGGGGGGGGGGTACGCGGCGGAAGCGTGAGGAGGCGGCCCAGCAGTGCGGACCGCCGGCTCTGAAACCATGTTAGAATACTAGAATGGAAGAGGCGCCATGAATGGCGAGAGGTTTAGGTGCTGAGAAAAATATCGAGAGAGAAGAGAATGAGATTAGAAAAGAGAGGGATACAAGAAGGGAGGTTGTCCCCTCTACAGTAGGATCCAATAACACATACCAAGCCTACAATTATATATATTAAAATGTATAATTTAACACTTGGGACTGCCGAGCAAACACGCAGGATCTGAGAGAATTGGGAGTTCTATTCCCCTCTCCTGTTCTCGATAGAACTATCCGTCACCAGCTACAGTGGCAGCAACGCCAGACCAACGGATACGGGGTTTTATCAAAAGGGGCACGTTTTGGACCCATTTCCTTCGACGATGTCATTCCCGGAGGTTCGGCATTCGGGGAGCGGGAGGTGCTGTGGTCCCCCCCACCCCCCTCCCCCCCCCGACTGTTCCGCCCTAGGGGTCCCAGTCCCAAACACGAGGACCTGGGCATTGGTACTGCCGGGCAAACGCGCAAGACCTGAGAGAGTTGGGAGTTCTATTCCCCCCTCCTGTTCTCAATAAAAGGTGTAGCCTCACTCGGAAATAGGAAACAAGTCACTCGGAAATAGGAAACAAGAAAGATAAAGGGAAGTAAACAAAATTGTACTGGAGGACCTGACAAAGTAAAATAAATCGCTCGTCAGAGCACTTCCGGCCCGTCAACCTCCCGCGGAATGACGGGAGGGACGTTCATCGAGTCCGGCAGTGCGCCTTGCGGTACACGTGTCTGGACGGCATTCGCGCTCTGGGCTGGAAGCCTCGGCTCATCATCCGAGTGGATGTCTAGGGCCGTTGTACAGAGGTACAACGAAGTGTACGAACTATAGAACAGATCCTGTTCAAGTATAGTCGTGCTGTACGAGGTGGAATTTCAAGGTCTAGTAGGACTTTTCATACCACGTCAATGTTTTGTGGGCTTCTTGTGAGACGTGTCTCTCTCCATTTGCGCCACGCCTGTCCACCAGGCCTTTTTGGTGATGGTGCGTGAACTTACTCCCCTCGCCAAATCGTCGGCTTGATGCTATCGACCAGGGGCCATACTTGACCAAGGATCCCAAGGCATATGGATCGAGACTCCGCAGTACGTACAGTAAGTTCCCAAGAATCCCAAGGCAATTAGCTCCGCAATTCTCCTTCAACACGCAGGTGCACGGAACGGATTCCAGCTTTTCGCCATTTGCTTGCGCTAGCTATGGCGACCACATTGTGCGCCGCGTCTACGCAGCTTACTCTTCAAGTTCCTGTACGTCATATTCACACGGACTCTCGACCAGTGCCCTTCTCTTCTGGCCCATCGTTACAGTCACCTGTTAGATTATCTCGCTATGGTTCCAATTCCTCTCAATTCCAACCGTCGATTACGACGCACCGCCGTTTTACAATAAATTCTTCTCTGCAGTCCAAATTTGTAGATCTCCGTCAGCCGGCTAGTTACCGGCAGTCCGTCAAAGTGACGGCTGCGCGTCTATCAGGCGCTAACGGCTCGTTACCGTCGGAAGGCGGGAACGGATCCCTACCGACGGACGAGAAGACAGCAGCGTCGTTTCCGCAAGGCATTAACGGGGTAGGAGGGACAGACGAAGGACCTTCTGAGGCATTCGAAACAGCGGGTCGAGAATTGACAGCGGAAGGCGGCGGCAACGACGGCAAGAAGGTAGTGATTGTCGACTCGGGGTGGGCTGGTCTTGGCGTCGTGCACCATCTCACGAAACAGGTGCATTGATTGCCTTGATAGTGTCGATGGCAAGAAGAAAACTAGCTCATGGATTGCAGCAACCGAGGCACATCCCACTATTGAAGGCTCATCCATCGCAGAAGAGGGTGCCGTTCATTCTCCCTCGAAGAAGGAATCTCCCGCCCAATCCGGTGAAGGCGATGGCTTAACTAGTCTGCAGAAGCAGTTCCTGGAGCTGCAGTCTAGAAACACCAAAGACTCAGGAGAGAAACGGCAAACAACATCTCAACCTTCACTGCAGACCGAACCATCGGACGATGTAGAAGAGGATGTTGGGCTCACCTTTCTGCAACAGCAGATGCAAAGGCTGCAGTCTGGTGTCGCTAAGGATTCGGGAAAGAAGCGAATGACAGAAATGGAACCGGAAGTCGTGGCTGCAGAGCACGTGGGCGCGGCAGAGGGCGTGGGCCCTATAGACACCTCCACCCAGCACAAGGACACGACGTCACACCCTTCAACGTTGCGGAAAGAGTCGATCGCGTAAGTGATATCCCTGGAAGATACGCCACAAAAATCTTCCACTGGGTTGGATACGGCAGAAGGAAGCGCACACAAATGTGTGGGTCTAAAGAAGACAGCAGAAGAATTCCCGCATAAATCTGCGCCGGCTGCTGAGGAATCCTAGCAGAAATCCCCTGCGCCCCCGAAGAAGAGAGGCGCAGGGGCAAAGAAGGGCGGACAAGGAGCTGGAAAGAAGCAGAAGGTGGCCGCTGCAGAATCTGAGGCAGCCACGGGGAGCCTGCCGGTCAAGGACCACAAGAACGATGGGAAGTCGCGAGGCATCATACATCCTTTCAAGGGGCAGGGGGGGATTTACGATAAGGGCGCTTCTACGGGTCCTTCAAGGTTTGCAGACCGTCGGCGGGAGGAAACGCAACCTGGCTGGGTGCAGCACCAAAGAGGAGCAGCAATTTCTCACAGCTATCTGCTGGTCCGACGCCACCCAGATGCCAAGTTCTTCGACTACAAGAGCTTCAATGAAGCGCCGATCGCAAGCTGGGCGGACAACTTGAAGTTTGTTGCAGAAGAGTACGTTACTCTTGTTTCGAATTTCCGCTCGGCATCTTATGTTTCTTGCATCTGTCGTGCCATCGCTTGCGTGATTCTATCTTAACATGGTGTTTTTATACATGTTGTACTGCTGCTCCTTCAAATGAGGGCGCTTGTTGTTCAACTGCAGCACCCAAACGAGGCTGGAGCTGAACCAGTGTCGAATGAGATAGCTCTCTGTGCTGCCATCGCTCGTGTGGCCTCAAAGCACGAGGCTAAACTCACGAAGCCACCCCAAGGGATGACCCCCAGCCAGTATCAGCTGGCAATTGCTGCAGCCCTTTGCACCATGAGGGCTGCCATCAGGGGCTTGGATGAGACCAAGCATATGGAGGAGGCAGCGACCGCCGCAGAGTTGGCGAAGGTGGACAAGCTGGTGAAGCTGGATGCTATACTCTGCGCTTTGGTTTCTACCAGAACTCTAACTGCCATGAAATTGTTCGAGGGGCAGGGCAAAATCAAGCCAGACTGGCTTACCGTTCTGTGGCCATAAATTAAAAAAGGGCTTGATTCCGGAGAATCGCCAGCTGAAGAATCGAGACGAGATGGAGAGGGTGCTGCCCAACATCGCAGAAGTTTGCGTTAGGGTGGCCACATCCTGGTGCTCATGCTCAATCGATTCTGCGGCGTTGGAGAAGAAAGGGCATGCCCCTCTTATCGTCATGAAGGAAGAGCGCAAGAAGAGGAAGCAGATCGAGGAACCATCGGCGGCCGCTGCTCAGGAAGACTAGTGCCTCATCGGGTCGGCTTCTGTTCTCAGAGTAGTAGCTTGTACCATATGTAGAGACCTTTTGTGCAGCTTCTGGGCTATGCAATCTCGTAGAAACTCCTTGTAGATAGGTCTGTACTCATGTGTAGGATATGCGTGTGTTGTTTGTTCTCTGTACATGTGTACGGTATACTTTGTTTTCTCCAGATACTAGTTTCCTTCTTGCAAAAGCTAAGCTCCGAATCGTCAGAAAGATCCACATAAAACAGATTGGCGATCCGCCGAAAATTCCACATGAAAAATATGCCAACTTACCAAAGACCTGCTCTACAAACCGAATCTACGAAGCTAACTAGTCTGCAGGTTCTGAGTTGGCAGACGGCATGTTTGCAGAACACTCTCCTCCAACGGCGTAGAGAAGGCCGGCCATTCACGGTGTCCGAACGAACCCTCTACCCAGGTGGTGTCCCGTAAACCAGTCTTGACGAGATGGAATGCGATATGCATTTGCTTCTCCAACTTCTCTTTGCTTTTGTTTGCAGTGGCCCACGACTTCTTTTGCTATGGGTTTGTCTCTTTTGTCTCCCAATCATCACGGATAATGATTCCCTCGATCATTGTTGTGAGCGTGCTCTTGGCCAATATCTTGTCGAGTTGCGTGGTGACAGTTATTCTGTCGAGGGCTCCTCTTCATAAGAAGTCCACAGTATCCATAAGAATCTTCATTCTCCGCATCCTCTTCGTGCTCGCATCTGCTGAATTTGCATCCTTCCCCTTCTTCTTGCCTGCTGTAGAGCTCGCCTCTGCAGCCATGCCCATCTTGAAGCCCTCCACATCAGCAAAAACCGGCTCTGCGGCATCGTCCATCGGCAGAGTTCGCGGCCGCTTTGCCCTTGGCGTGGAGTCTGCAGACTTGCTGCCTATCAGTTGGATTTTTCCCACAATCGAAGATGTCTCCACAGGCATGCCCTTGTGCGATGAATCTCCAAACTTGCCAAACTTGCAAAAAAAACCTCTCTGCGAGCTGACCTCTTCTCGCAAAGATCTTCCCTTGATGATCGGGTTTGGCCCGTCCCAGTAAGACCATGCATCATCGATGGTCTTGCTGTCCCGCCATGGCCTAACGACGGCGTCGCAGTATGCCTGGTCCCCTGGTGGTGGAACACGTGTAGCAGATGCGGCCGCAGAGCACTCCCTCGTGATGCCAGACGCATTCTCCAGTGCGTTGTAGGCCCGCTTCAGCGTGGCGTACGCCTCATCCTTCTCTAGAATGATCGCATTCTTTGCCTCGATCGTCGCTTTCAGCTGCCTATTCTCCTCTGCTAGACGATCCTTCTCATATCCCAGCTTTTCCACCTTCCTTGCGCAGAAGTGTCATCTAGGCGTTTAGATGATTGATTGTATGATCGCTCTTTATCCGTTTGTGAATCTCCTGCAAAAAAGGGGAAAGCACGTCAGCAATTGCCCTGCAGAAATGGTGGGTTAGAATCTTAGTAGACGCCAGAAAGCCTTACCGCTTCTGTTGACAATGTGATGTCTGATCGAAGCCTGATCCCGTATGCGTCTCTCGACACCACTTCAATCGCCCACGTCTGGAACAGCGTCTCGTTGCAGAGTTTGGAAGCCTGGACGTATGGGAGTCGCGGGCAGGTACAAGGACGTGGGCCTCCCATGAACGGATGCTTGTCACAGTGGACCTACATTATGGCTAGATCTTCAGCCACAATCCTGCGTCCAACATCCTTCAAGCTGTTAAAAAAACTGGCGCCGACAATGTGGATGTCGTCGGTAGATTTGTCCTTGTTGGAGTCCTTGAAAAGTCGAAAAGCCATTGTTAAGGTCCGTAGAAATGCACCCACAAAAACGCGCCCACAGATACGTATCCACAGATACGCTCCCACAGATATGCTCTCACAGAAACGCTCCACAGCAACCACACCACAGAAACCACACCACACACACGCTCCCAGAGAAATGCACCCACAGAAATGCGCCCACAGATACGTACCCACAGATACGCTCCCACAGATACGCTCTCACTGAAACGCTCCACAGCAACCACACCACAGAAACCACACCACAGAAACCACACAACAGATAAGCTATCACAGAGACGCCCCCACATAAATGCTCCCACATATACGCTCCCACATAAATGCCCCTACACCCTTTGCTCCCACAGATACGCTCCCACAGACACGCTCCCACAGAACTGCTCCCACAGATATGCTCCCACAGACACGCTCCCTCAGAAACGCTCCCACAGATACGCTACCATAGGTACGCTCCCACAGAGACTCTCCCACAGATACGCTCCGACAGATATGCTCCCACACATACGCTCTCGTAGAAACGCTCCACAACAACCACACCATAGAAACCACACCACACATACGCTCCCACAGAAACGCACCCACAAAAATGCTCTCACATATACGCTCCCACATAAACGCTCCCAAAGAAATGCTCTCACAGATACGCTCCCACAGATCCGCTCCCACACAAACGCTCCCACTGAAATGCACCCAATGAGAGGTTGACATACAAGTGCTCCCAAGACACAAAGAAAGCCACAAAGCAAAATGCACTCAAAAAGCATCTGCGAATGCGATTCAAACCCGCGGAAGCGACTGTACCTTCTTCAGCACCGAAACGGGGAACTTACATTCTGAGCGCCCAAGTCCCCAGAATTCCCTTCACAAATTCGGAAGAGGAGATGAATCCAGGGTGCATGCCCTTTTATAGTTGCACAGCTCCCGGGTCCCCTGTAGAAGAACATTTAGATCAAACATACACTTTTCATTATATCTGGCCATCTCCAACCTACAACAAATCCTAGAGTATAACGTGTAGAAATACATAGCAATATGTAACTTGGACAAACCACTCAACCGTAGTGTTTCAACAAAAACTATCCTTCTCCCCCAGGATACCAATGCCATTGGAGTGTCGTAGAATGACGCCGCTGAACGACGCGGAGATGGTCGTCGAAACCGATCCGTCGCTAGCTACAGTGGCGGCAACGCCAGACAAACGGATACGGGGTTTTATCAAAAGGGGCACGTTTTGGACCCATTCCCTTCGACGATGTCATTCCCGGAGGTTCGGCATTCGGGGGAAAGGAGGCGCTGCCGGCCCCCCCGGCTGTTCTGCCCTAGGGGTCCCAGTCCCAAACACGAGGACCTGGGCCTTGGTGTTAGAATACTAGAATTGAAGAGGCGCCATGAATGGCGAGAGGTTTAGGTGCTAAGAAAAATATCGAGAGAGAAGAGAATGAGATTAGAAGAGAGAGGGATACAAGAAGGGGGGTTGTCCCCTCTACAGTATGATCCAGTAACACATACCAAGCCTACAATTATATATATATATATATAAATATATAATTTAACACACCCCCTAGGCTTGGTAGTCACAAGCCCACCCCACATGCAACACCTCTAAACCTAGCACCCCCATACCCTGCAGCAGAGGTGACTGCAGGGAAGGAAGGCACTAGGCATCCTTGAGCTGCGGCGGGGCGGAGCCAGCTAGCGTGGCGAGCTGGGTCCGCTGGACCGACGCGGCGAGCTGAGTCCGACGCAGCGAGCTGGGTCCGACGCGGCGAGCAGGGTCCGACACGACGAGCTGGGGAGGCGCGGCGAGCTGGAGTGCGGGCTTGCTGCCTAGTGCATAAACCAGTGCGCGACCCACTGCCGCAGGACGAAGCCGCCACGTCGAGGCTGTCACAGCAGCACGACAAAGCCGTCATGGCAGCACGACACGGCCGCCACGGCGGCGCGGAAGTAACGAGAAGGGGGGGGGGGGTACGCGGCGGAAGCGTGAGGAGGCGGCCCAGCAGTGCGGACCGCCGGCTCTGAAACCATGTTAGAATACTAGAATGGAAGAGGCGCCATGAATGGCGAGAGGTTTAGGTGCTGAGAAAAATATCGAGAGAGAAGAGAATGAGATTAGAAAAGAGAGGGATACAAGAAGGGAGGTTGTCCCCTCTACAGTAGGATCCAATAACACATACCAAGCCTACAATTATATATATTAAAATGTATAATTTAACACTTGGGACTGCCGAGCAAACACGCAGGATCTGAGAGAATTGGGAGTTCTATTCCCCTCTCCTGTTCTCGATAGAACTATCCGTCACCAGCTACAGTGGCAGCAACGCCAGACCAACGGATACGGGGTTTTATCAAAAGGGGCACGTTTTGGACCCATTTCCTTCGACGATGTCATTCCCGGAGGTTCGGCATTCGGGGAGCGGGAGGTGCTGTGGTCCCCCCCACCCCCCTCCCCCCCCCGACTGTTCCGCCCTAGGGGTCCCAGTCCCAAACACGAGGACCTGGGCATTGGTACTGCCGGGCAAACGCGCAAGACCTGAGAGAGTTGGGAGTTCTATTCCCCCCTCCTGTTCTCAATAAAAGGTGTAGCCTCACTCGGAAATAGGAAACAAGTCACTCGGAAATAGGAAACAAGAAAGATAAAGGGAAGTAAACAAAATTGTACTGGAGGACCTGACAAAGTAAAATAAATCGCTCGTCAGAGCACTTCCGGCCCGTCAACCTCCCGCGGAATGACGGGAGGGACGTTCATCGAGTCCGGCAGTGCGCCTTGCGGTACACGTGTCTGGACGGCATTCGCGCTCTGGGCTGGAAGCCTCGGCTCATCATCCGAGTGGATGTCTAGGGCCGTTGTACAGAGGTACAACGAAGTGTACGAACTATAGAACAGATCCTGTTCAAGTATAGTCGTGCTGTACGAGGTGGAATTTCAAGGTCTAGTAGGACTTTTCATACCACGTCAATGTTTTGTGGGCTTCTTGTGAGACGTGTCTCTCTCCATTTGCGCCACGCCTGTCCACCAGGCCTTTTTGGTGATGGTGCGTGAACTTACTCCCCTCGCCAAATCGTCGGCTTGATGCTATCGACCAGGGGCCATACTTGACCAAGGATCCCAAGGCATATGGATCGAGACTCCGCAGTACGTACAGTAAGTTCCCAAGAATCCCAAGGCAATTAGCTCCGCAATTCTCCTTCAACACGCAGGTGCACGGAACGGATTCCAGCTTTTCGCCATTTGCTTGCGCTAGCTATGGCGACCACATTGTGCGCCGCGTCTACGCAGCTTACTCTTCAAGTTCCTGTACGTCATATTCACACGGACTCTCGACCAGTGCCCTTCTCTTCTGGCCCATCGTTACAGTCACCTGTTAGATTATCTCGCTATGGTTCCAATTCCTCTCAATTCCAACCGTCGATTACGACGCACCGCCGTTTTACAATAAATTCTTCTCTGCAGTCCAAATTTGTAGATCTCCGTCAGCCGGCTAGTTACCGGCAGTCCGTCAAAGTGACGGCTGCGCGTCTATCAGGCGCTAACGGCTCGTTACCGTCGGAAGGCGGGAACGGATCCCTACCGACGGACGAGAAGACAGCAGCGTCGTTGCCGCAAGGCGTTAACGGGGTGGGAGGGGCAGACGAAGGACCTTCTGAGGCGTTTGAAACAGCGGGTCGAGAATTGACAGCGGAAGGCGGCAGCAGCGACGGAAAGAAGGTGGTGATTGTCGGCGCGGGGTGGGCTGGTCTCGGCGCCGCGCATCATCTCACGAAACAGGTGCGTTGATTGCCTTGATAGTATCGATGGCAAGAAGGTGGTGGTTGTCGGCGCGGGATGGGCCGGTCTCGGCACCACCTCACGAAGCAGGTGCGCCTGAGATGTCGCTGGCGGTGCGTGCTCAGTCGAATTCAGCTATCAGCGCCATATGCGGCGTGGATTCATGGTATCGGTACTGACGTGGCACAACGCTGACGTGGCAGGGGTACGATGTGACGTTGCTGGAGGCGGGGCGCCAGCCTGGCGGGCTGGTGGCGGGATGGCGGAGCGAGAAGGGGAAACCGGTGGAGGTGGGGATCCACGGTGAGCGGGGGGGATTCACAGTGAGTGAAGGGGATGTGACTATGTTGAGGAGGGGGGTGGAGGGTATGTATGGTGAGTGGCTAATTCGAGATTTCCTGTCTTGGTGGGAATTGATGGTGCCTGTATGGTTTGTGATACAAGCGATGGCTATTTTTTGTGTGCACCTGACTCCGGGCATCAATTTCACCCTGTTAGAAGCTGGGCTTGTGACATATTCCCCCTAACAGACGAGCAGGGCCTCAAGCCCTTCACAGGCGCTTAATCCATCTCCTCTTCAACCCCCCTGGCTGGCAGGCTTCTGGTACCCCTACAGGAACATATTCGCGTTGACGGACGAGCTGGGCCTGAAGCCCTTCACGGACTGGACGCGGTCAGCGCAGTACTCGCCTGCTGGAATCGAGGTGGAGTCACCCATCTTCCAGGACCTACCCCGACTGCCCTCCCCACTGGGCACGTTTGTCTGGACGCAGGTGGGTGGTGTTGCATGCTGTAGCATACACTTGCGCCCACAGGTGGGCCGAGGTCGGGGATGGGGTGCAGGTCAGCGCAGTACTCGCCAGGTGGGTTGGAGTTGGAGGTGGAGTCACCCATCTTCGAGGACCTGCCCAGCCTACCGAGCCCTCTCGGCACGTTCGTGTGGACGCAGGTGTGGGTGTCGGCCACAGGGCAGTGTGGTATAAAAAGCGCAGGTCTAAAGCGCTTGCGTCTTGGGCCCAGGCAGGGGAAGAGGCTCCGCTCAGCTGGGCCACCCGTGGCTGTCATATGCTGAGGGTAGGAGATGCGGCTCAGCTGAGCCCTGTACTCGCCAGCCGAGCTGCGTGTGGAGTCACCTATCTTCCAGGACCTGCCCAGGCCTCCTAGCCCACTGGGCACGTTTGTCTGGTCGCAGGTGCGTGGCCGTTACCGCGTGTGCTCGATTCTCAAAGTAAGCTATCCATAGTCTGGTGGCTAGCAGCTGGTTTGCTTGAGAGGAGCACTCGCTGCCCTCTCGCCTTTCCTTTCCCCCCCATCCCCCACTTCCCGGACCTGCCTGCCCTCCATTCTTCCCTCTGCCTGTGCGTTGCACCCCCCTCAGTGCCCCCCCTTCAATGCCACCCCCTCACTGCCACCCCCTCACTGCCACCCCCTCGCTGCCACCCCCTCACTGCCACCCCCTCGCTGCCACCCCCTCACTGCCACCCCCTCGCTGCCACCCCCTCATTGCCAACCCCTTACTGCCCCGCCCTCGCTCCCCCCCCATCCCCCCCCCTGGGTGCAGTTCAAGCGCCTGCCTCTGTCGGATCGGCTGTCGGCTCTTGCTCTCATGTATGCCAGTGAGTGACCATGGCTCCACATGCTTTGTGGAGGCGTATTGAGTGGGCGTATTAAGTGGGCCTATCTTGTTTGTTGAGTGATTCGTGTGTGCTGGTAACGCCTTGATAGCCATGTCTGCTTTTGAGTCGACTCGTGGCGTGCTGCCTCGTTTCTGTTTCCCTGCTCTCTCGCCCTCCGTACGTTCATCCCCCTTGTAATCGCTCCCTCTGGTATCGTTTGCTACTCTCCCTCTTCCCCCCCCATGCGTGTCTCCGCAGTGGTCGACTTTGACAACAGTGATGAAGCGTGGCGCAGATACGACCGTTGTAAGTCCTCTTCCCCCTCCTCCTTCCCGCCTGCAGTTCCTTCCCTCATCTTCCATCTTCCCCCGTCAATCTCTCCTCCTTCCCGCCTGCAGCTCCTTCCCTCACTCTGCTCCCACCAATCGTGTCAGTCACAGCTTCAATCTGCTCTCTGCTCCTCACACGCCCCACCCACCCACCCACACCTCACCCCCCCTCTTGTATGCATAATGCACCGCCGGCACAGGAGCGGCTCAAGCAGTGTGGGCGTGCCGACCCCATGCTGCTGGTGGGGCTGTTCGCTCCGGGGTATCTCAACCACTATGCCGCCCCCATTCCCCCTTCACACATGCACAGTGACGGCCAGAGAGCTGTTCAAGCAGTACGGGTGCACGGACCGGGTGTACCGAGAGGCGTTCAACCCCATGCTACTGGTGGGGCTGTTCGCTCCGGGCGAGCAGTGCAGCGCTGCCGCCACCCTGGGCATGCTCTACTACTTCATCCTTGCGCACCAGGTGGGCAATTCCCCATGCCACATGCTCTTCAAAACCCCTACCTCCAGCTCTTTCCCACACACTGAACCTCGCCTCACTTGCACAACACAGCAGCGCAGCGCTGCCGCCACCCTGGGCGTGCTCTACTACTTAATCCTCGCGCACCAGGTAGGTAAGCACTCTCACACCCCTACCTCCAGCGCTCTTACCACACGCACACTGGTTTGGAGTCGCGGATTAGTAGTGTCCCAAGACTACCGAGTCGAATCAAGAGGCATGCATGCACCCCTCACCACGTTCCCTCCACTGCTCTCCGTCCCTCCTGTATCTCCATCCCCTGCCTCCAGGCGGACTTCGACGTGGTGTGGTGCCGGGGCACGGTAGGCGAGACCATCTTTGCCCCTTGGATTCAAGCCATGGAAGGTTCGGGGAACTTCCGCTTCCTGCCCGGCCGTCGCGTCACTGGTGGGCTAGTTGCCTCTTGAACTGGTGTGACTCAAGTGAGACCCGTCTGTGCCCATGCCCCGCCTGTGCCTATGCACTGCCTGTGCCTATGCCCCGCCTGTGCCTATGCCCCGCCTTTGCCTTAAGTGAGCTCTTCACCCATTCAAAGCCGCGTGCTCGCGTGGAAGCAACAGCAGACGACGACCCCTCATCTGTCTCTTCTCCCACCTGTCTTCCCCTCGACTCAGACATTGCAACAGCAGAGGATGATCCAGACAGAGTCACAGCGGTGGTGTGCGGTGACGAGGTGTTCCCAGCCGATGCAGTGGTGTCAGCTGTGGGGATCTCTGGCCTCAAGAACATTGTCGCCTCCAGGTGGGTCCATAACCTGAGAAATGAGCTTTCACACCAAGACTTTTGAGAGTTCTAAAGAATCACCCTCAACATGAAGGACTTCAGTTCAGCAACCTAGATTTGTTACTTTTTGGGAATTCTAAGGAATCACAGACTTCACAAGATGCTGCTGCTGAGGTGCGCGCACATCCCTTTCCTCCTCTTTCCACCCCTCCCCTCCCATTCCCATTCCTCCTCCTTCCCCTTCCACGCACCTCAGTCCAGCGCTGTCTAGCAGAAGGCAATTGAAGAGACATTGCATCAGAAACACCTCTGAATCCTAGGAGGCTTGCTGCGGATCGAATCCTATGTTTCCCCATCCACGCACCTCAGTCCAGCGCTGTCTAGTAGAAGGCAACAGAAACACCAGCGGATCGCACGAGACAAGTTCCTTCCTGGGCTCATGCGCACTGCAAGCCTCTCCCCCCTTCCCTCCTCTTTCTCCCCCCTCACCCCCCTTTCCCCCTCTCCCCACCTGTCCACGCCCCTCAGCCCAGCACTCTCTAGCCGGAGGGAGTTCCTGGGTGTAGCCAATCTGGGGGCGATAGACGTGCTGGCGGTGCGCCTGTGGCTCGACAGGAAGGTGAGGCCAGCTTCTTCCATGTGCTCAGGAGTGTGATGAGGTACTGAGGAGTGCGGTGAGGTGCCTTGCCATTTGATCTTGGGGGCGATAGACGTGCTGGCGGTGCGCCTGTGGCTCGCCAGGAAGTGAGAATATGTATGGGTGGAGGCACTTGTAGCCGTGCATGGCTTCTTTAGGTGCTCGCACCTCTGTTCTCTGCCAGGTGCTCGCACCTCTGTTCTCTTCCAGGTGTTCGCCAGGAAGGTGTTATCTGCCAGGTGTTCGCCAAGAAGGTGTTATCTTCCAGGTGCTCGCCAGGAAGGTGTTCTCTGCCAGGTGCTCGCCAGGAAGGTGTTATCTGCCAGGTGTTCGCCAGGAAGGTGTTATCTGCCAGGTGCTCGCCAGGAAGGTGTTATCTGCTAGGTGCTCGCCAGGAAGGTGTTCTCTTTGCATCTGTTTCCTCGGCACTCGGATTGTCTGCTTCCCATCCGCCACATGGATTGACTCTCCAACCATCCGCGCTCAAGGTGTTTTGATGTGCTTTGAGTCGCACTTAACTCTGCTCCCCCTTCCACTTCCCACCCCTTCCCGCTCAGGTCACCATCCCCAAGCCCTCGAACGCATGCTTTGGCTGTGACAACACGGCAGGACGGGCCTCCTTCGACTCTGATGCTATTTGACACGCCACATGACATACATGTCCGTTTTGCTATGCTTCCTTATTGCCCCTTCCCGCCGCAGGTCATCATCATCATCATCCCTAAGCTGTTCAAAACGTGCCTTGGCTTTGACGACCAACCAGGTCCAGGGATTGCCTGGTTGGTCGTCAAAGCCTTGGCTTTGACGACCAACCATCGAAATCAGTTAAGGTCCAGTTAAGTTAACATCACCTTAACTGATTTCGATGCTATGCCTCTATGCTTCTTCCCCATCCTACTGAGTGTTATTGAGAATTCTAAAAACCACCCTGCAGGTCATCATCATCCCTAAGCCCTCCAACTCGTGCTTTGGCTTTGACGACACGACAGGGTGGACCTTATCTGATTTCGCTGCTATGCCTTCGTGCCCCCCACCACCCGCCCCCCCCCTTACCGAGCAGGTCACCATCCCCAAGCCGTCCAACGCGTGCTTTGGCTTTGACGACACGACAGGGTGGACCTTCTTTGATCTCAACGCCATCCATGACGAGTACAGGGACGATCCCTGCACCGTCGTTGAGGCTGACTTCGTGAGTTGCTGACTTTCTTTGACCCGCTGTGACCTGCTTTGACTCGCATTGACCTGGGTGGACCTTCTTCAATCTGAACGCCATCCACGACAGGTACTGGGACGAGCCCTGCGCCATTGTTGAGGCCGACTTTGTGATTCGTTGACCTTTTTTTACCTGTGTTGACCTGCTTTGACCTGCGCTGGCCTGCGTTTACCTGCTTCGACTTGTGTTGACCTGCGTTGACCTGCGTTGATCCGCTTTAACCTGCATTGACCTGCGTTGGCCTGCGTTGATCTGCTTTGACCTGCCTTGATCTGCTTTGACCTGCCTGATCTACTTTGACCTGCGTTGATCTGCTTTGACCTTGGAACGTTATGCACAATGAGTACAATTTCCCTCGGACGAGCCCTGCACCGTGGTTGAGACCTTCGCCGACCTTCGTTACAATTGCCATTCTCTCGAACTTGACCCGTGCAACCTCCACCAACCTCCCCACCCTCCCCACCCTCCCTTTCCTACTCCCGTATTCCCCTTTTCTCTCCACCTCCTCCCCCCTCCCTCCCCCGCGCACCACCGCCAGTACCACACGAACCAGTTTCTGCCGATGTCAGACAAAGCGATAGTCGGGTGCATCCTTCCCTTCGCCTCACATGCTTATTTCTGCCCCCCACCCGCGTCCCCTCTCCTCCCCCCCCCACACACCACCGCCACCACCACCGCCACCACCACCGCCACCACCACCGCCAGTACCACGCGAACCAGTTCCTGCCCATGTCAGACAAAGCGATTTTCGACACGGTCCAGCGCTACCTTGCTACCTGCATCCCTGCATCCCCTGCCGCTCACTGAAGTTGCATCCCTGCATCCCCTGCCGCTCACTAAAGTTGCATCGCTGCCTTCACACTCATACTCTGTCTCCTTTCCCTCCCTTCCCTCTCTTCTCCCCCAAACCTGTTCCCTTGGTGCCGCACCACCGCCAGTACCATGCGAATCAGTTCCTGCCAATGTCAGACAAGGCCATCGTGGACACGGTTCAGCGCTACCTGGCCACCTGCATCCCTGCCTTCGCCTCGGCGTGCGTGGTTGACAGCGCAGTCGTGCGCTTCCCTCGAGCTGTCACTCATTTCTCACCGGGTAAGCCTTGAGGCTCATTGATATGTGTGCCTCACCAGGCATCTGTGTGTGTGTGGCTGTGAGCATCCCTGCCTTCGTGAGGCTGTGAGCTGTCACGCACTTCTCACCTTACTCAAGGAGCCGAGAATGGGCATAGTGTGTTCCTTCGTGTGCCACACACACACAAACACACACTGCGCCCGTTTCCGGCTCCTACCAGCACCTACTCCCCGCCACCACCAGCTTCACCAGCCTCCTCTTTGCGTCGTCTTTCAAACACACCTCCCTTTTGAGTCGACCCAGAAGTCTTTGCGTCGTCTTTCAAACACACCTCCTCCTACCAACCCTTCTCCCTCGGCTCCCACCTCCACTCTTCAGGTGCCTACCGGCACCTCTATATGGTCAACGAGTCTCCATTCCCCTCCCCTCCCACCTCCTCAACAGGCTCCTACCAGCACCTGCTGCCCGCTACCACCAGCTTCACCAACCTCTTTATGGCTGGCGATTGGATCGTCACTCGACATGGGTCATGGTCGCAGGTACACTTGTTAGCTTCCCACGCACACTTTGATGGCTCATAAGGGCTCATAAGGTATCTTCTCATAGCAGGTACCGTAGGCATTTCCGCACCGCCACCTGCTCGGTTTTTATTCATTTGCACGTGCTCTTTTTCCTTGCAATGATGCATAATTGTTGTTATTATTCGTGTCAACCAGGAAAAGGCCTTTGTGACTGGTTTGGAGGCGGCGAACCGAGTGGTGCGGCTGGTGGGGGAGGGGGAGCCTGCTGCCATAATCCCGGTGGAGCCGGACGAGGAGCACATTCAGCAGCTCAGGGAGCTCAACCATTCTGCCAAACAAGTGATCAACTTATTCCCATTCGCGGGAGCACTGCTACAGTAGAGCTGCTCGTTACATGTGTTACATTAATACCTGGTGGGGGAGGGGCAGCGTGCTGCCATAATCCCTGTGGAGCCAGATGAGGAGCACATTCAGCAGCTCAGGTTGCTCAAACGGTCTGCCAGGCAACTCATTAACCTGTTTCCATTTGCAGGAGCTCTCCTGCAGTAGAGCATTCTTGCGACATATACTTCAATAATGCCTGTCATGTCCACAAATGACCTACTGGAACAAACTCAGTTGCTGGTGCGGCTGTGACATTGTGAATGAGTGTTGCAGCTGCCAGATATTTGTTTATAGTTTTTTTTTACTAGGTGGACAATGCATTCGCAAAGTTAGTGGGTTCTTGCGACATAAGATATACCGAGTGTAGCACACAATTCACCACTGCTCCCTACCGCCCTCCTCCACATTCCCTCCTCCCCTTCTTAACGGTAGTCAGCTGCTGCAGCCGTGGTGATGGCGCACTCTCTGTTTCGCCTGGACGTGGAGGGCCGCGCTGTTGAGTGGAGATGGTGGCGGTGGTGGGGTTGGCAGGGGTGGTGGAGGTGGGGGTGGGGACGGTGGTGCAGACGAGGGAACCAGGGCTGACGCCATGAAGCAGCAGCAGCAGCAGCAACAACCCAAGCAGCAGCAGCAGCCGTCTGAGGGATCCCCGCCACCGTGGTGGTCCGGCGGCGCTGGTGGTGGTTGTTGTGCTGGTGGGCCGTGAAGCACGGTGTCGGGTAGCGGCTCTAGTGTGGTCACCCGCCAGAACCAGCTTCAGTCCGGCCCCCGCCGCGGCACTGTCTGCAATCGTCTCGGGCGCACCGCCCTCCGCTGCTACCGCTGCCTGGAAAACATCTTTCGTCTCCGCTTCGGCCCAGCGTCGGACCCCCCCGACTAGAACAGCCTGATGTGTCGTTGTGTCCCTATTTTTTACCCTAACATGGATCAGATTAGGTCTGCTCCCTATGTCATGTATGCTAATGACTCTAGTGAGACTGAACCCTATTACCATGTGTTGCCTAGTATAGGTGTGTCCCAAGTGTGTAGTCTAGACTCCCTCGCTGCGTCAGGCGTAGGAGCACCTGCCTTGTTTAGTCTCGGCTCCACCCTAGCTCCGCCTGCGGCCGTTATCTTCGTGCTCTCGTTCACGCTAGACTCTGGTGCGTCCGCCTGCTTCTTTCGCGACCACACTGCGCTCACGCCGTTTGCTGCCCCTGCCGCCGTAGCGCTTGCTGACCCCCCGGTCCGGTAATTGCCTGTAGCTCGACTACCCTTCTCTTTCCGACGGTTCCCTCGGGCTCTCTTATAGGCCTACACATCATTTCGTTCTCCAGGAACCTAGTTGGTCTCGGCTGTCTTCAGAACCTCGGCGTCACCACTACGTTCCCTGGACACGAGCGGTACACAGTCTGTACCGAGGCCGCCACGGGTGCCCCTCTCACCACGTTCCCCCAGGACCCCGTGTCTGGCCTATTCACCCTAGACACCGCGTCCCCCCCCGTGAGAGCGTCCCCCCAAGTCTTTGCAGCTTTCTCGTGTCGGTCGCTCACCCGCCCGTTGCTGATGTGGCACCACCGACTAGGTCATCCCGAACTCCCGCGTCTGCGTCACATATCCCATCACGGTCTTGTCTTCGATCTCCCTGCGTCGCTCCCTGCCCTACCTCTCACGCCTGCGCTGCCACACACGCCCTGCGTCGAGGGTTGGCTGCGCCGTGCTCCTCACTCCTCCTCGCTTTCCCCTACCACTGCGCCCCTCCAGACCTTGCACCTGGACGTTTGGGGCTCAGCCCCTTCCCTAGGCCGCGTCGAGAGTGCTACTTTCTAGTGTTTGTCGATGGCTACACGTGCTACACCACAATGTTTCCCCTGAAGCGTAAGGCTGACGTGCTTGACATTTTTATCCCATGGTTCATAGCTGCGCGAGTCCACCGCGGCCTCCCTGTGGTGCATCTTGACTCCGAACGTGGTGGCGAGTTCACCTCCGGTCGGCTTGACCAGTTGTGTCATGCGGAGGGTATCATCTACTGTAGTCGTACACCCTGCCAGACTCCCCGCAGCAAAATGGGGTCGCTGAGCGCCGCATCGGTTTGGTCATGGAGGTGGCTCGTTCCTCGTGATCCATGCCGGTGCACCCCATTTTCTGTGGTCGTTTGCTATTCGCTACGCCGCTCACCAGCTTAACCTATGGCCGCACTCCCAGTGGCCACAGATTTCGCCAACCCTTCTCTGGACCGAGTTTCCTGGTGATGTGTCTGCGTTCGACGTCTGGGGCTGACTTGCTCACGTTCGTTGCCTCTTGCCCGGACAAGCTCACTGTCCGCACCGTCCCTTGTGTCTTCTTTGGTTTCCCCCTCGACGCATCTGACTGGCACTTCTCCCACCCGCCGTCTCACCATTTTTTTCACTCTCGTCATGCCACTTTTGACGAGTCTGTCTCTTTCTATACCCGCTTTCCCCACCGAGGTCTCCCGGTTTCCCCGCCCCTGTTCCTGGTCCCCACTTCCCCGGTAGCCCCTACTCCTCTTCCTCCCCGTCCTGCCCCGTCTGGTGTGTCTCACGTCACTCCCCTCGCGTCGGTTGTTCCGGTGGAGGAGTCGGCTAACCTCGGGGGCCCCACAGCTTTGCCTTCGTTGCTTGTCTCTGCCCCAGTGTCTCCTTCTTTTCCTCTGCCTCCGCCGTTGCAGCCGTCGTCGCCGCCGCAGCTGTCGACACCATTGTGGCCGCAGGGGTCTGCGAGCTCGAGGGGTGCGGGCGTTGAGGAAGGTGCTAAACCTAGGGGTTCTATCATGGCTTGTCCCGGCAGTCCTGGGGGTTGGCACCAGTGCTGGAGAGGGTTCTCAATCTGGGGGTGCCGTTGTGGAGCGTCCCGGAGGTAGCCGTGGTGCAGCTGGATGTTCTGGTGGTGGTGCGAAGCAGCAGCAGCAGTCGTCGCCGGTGTCCGCCCTTCGCCTCCTCGGTCTTCCCTCCCGTGACCGCCCCCCTACGCCTTCCCCGCCTGTCTACAGTCTTTTGTTTCCTCCAACGGACTCGTCTCTATCACGTTTCCCCCCGTGTTCTCCTCTCGTGTCTCCTCCTGTGTCGCTTGATCCGACGCCTCCGTCCCACTTCTGGTCTCGTCGTCCCTCTCGTGCTCCTCTTGTCTCTCCTGTCTAGCACTCTCACCCTATGTTGCTTCATTCCTACGCGTCTCATCCTCCCTTCCACCCGTCGCCTCCTCCGTCGTCGCTGGTTGTCGCTCCGCCTCCCCTGTCTAACATTCTCTATGCCGCCAGTCCTCTTATTCCTCGCGCTGTTGCCTCTCTTCTTACCGACCCATCTGTTCCTGTCTCCATACTTGACACTGCTGCTGCAGCCGTCACTGACTTTGCCTCTACTCACCGCCTTGACTACACCAACACTCTGGTCTTTGACTCTGCCCGTCCTCCGTCTGTCAAGGGTGCTCCCGCCTTTAGCAGTGACGTCCTGGAGGACCGGCAGTACGAGCTTGCTTTCTTTTCCGAGGCCGTGCCACATCTTTGCTCCATGCTGCTAGTCCCAGAGGGTGACCCAGACGGCCTTGACATACCGACCCCTCGCACTTACGCTCAGGCGACCTCATGACCCTGGGCTTCTCAATGGATAGCTGCCATGCACGCGGAGAAGGCATCATAGAGATCCATCGGCACCTATGTCAAAGAAGTTCCCCCACCTGGGGTGAACGTAGTCGATGGCCGGTGGCTCTTCAAGGTGAAGCACCCTCCTGGAGAGCCGCAGGTGTTCAAGGCGCGCTATGTTGCTAGAGGTTTCAGTCAGTGCGAGGGTGTTGATTTCTTTTAGACCTCCGCCCCGACCTCAAAGATGACTACTCTTCAGGTGCTGCTACACGTAGCAGCACAGCGTAACTACCAGCTGCACTCTCTCAACTTCTCGACAACGTTTCTTCAGGGAAGTTTGCGCGAATAGGTTTACTTTCGTCGCCCGCGAGGCTTTACAAGCACCTTCGTTACGGGGACCCAGTAGCTCCTCCGGCGCCCGGTTTACGGTTTGCGGTAGATGCCGACACGCTTCGTGCTACGTTAGCTAATCTTCACTTCTTCCCGTCCTCTTCAGACCCTTCGCTCTTCGCTGTTCAGGCCAGAACCCATTCTACATCCTTGCCTACGTAGACGATCTGGTCTTCGCTACTGCAGACAGAGACGCACTGGCCTCCGTGAAGGCCGACCTGTTGAGGAAACACACCTGCACTGACCTAGGAGAGTTGTGCCGCTACCTTGGCCTGCAAATCTCCAGGGACAGAGGAGTGCGCACAATCATTCTCCCATAGTGCGCCAGGTGCTTCAGAGGTTCGGTCTTCAGTTCTCCTCCGCACAACCCACACCTCTGCCAGTACATCATAGGCTCTCAACACAAGTCCTTGAGGAGTCTGTAGAGCCTAGTGGTCCATACGCAGAGCTGGTGGGTTGCCTCATGTACCTGATGCCTTGCACTCGTCCAGATCTCGCATACCCTCTTAGCATCCGGGCTCACTTCGTGGCCACATGCAGACATCGACCACAGCACTGGTCGGTTGCTAAGAGGGTTTTGCGTTATCTAGCAAGTACATCGGGCATGGAGCTAGTGCTAGGAGGACGCAAGCTAGTAGTCCTTACAAGACACATAGACGCTTCGTGGGCGGACGACTCTGAGACGCCCAAGTCCTCCCAGGGCTACTGCTTTAGCCTTGGTGCAGGTGCCATCTCGTGGAGGTCCACCTGCTCCTTGTCTGTTGCTCTATCTACAGTAGCTGTGAGGCTAAGATCTATGCTGGTGCCATGGCGGCACTGGAGCTTCGCTGGCTGACCTTATTGCTCACAGACTAAGGTGGGGGACCTAGCTGTACCCCGGTCCTGTACGCTGACAACCGGGCCATGATCCTCCTGTGCCAGGAGCCTCGACTGGAGGGCAGAGCGAAGCACATCCAGCTACGGTACTTCCTCCTGCGTGAGCTACAGCAGCGTCGCCAGGCCCGCGTAGTACACTTGGCCTCCGGTGCCAACACAACTGATATCTTTACGAAGGTGCTTCCGCCTTAAGATCAGCAGCGGCACTGTGTACAGCTTGGTCTCGTTCCTGTAGCTTCTCACTTGCTATGACCTTGATTGTGAACTACATCTTATTATTTTCTTCACTGGCCTTGTGGCCCTTTTCCAAGTGGCTGGATTAGTAGTGCCGCCCCGCGTAGTTCGTACTCTTGCTGACTGGTCTTTGGACTAGTCAGCAAGAGCCGGAGACGAGTCCGGCGGCGGAAACACAGGGCCATGGACAGCCAGGGGAGGCAACAGGTGGGTGGTCAGGGGAGGGAAGACCAAGTAGTCGAAGGGCGGACACCGG